CAGATCGCCGGCTACTTACTGGCATCTACTCACTCCTCGCTTAGTGAAAGAACTCCCACTATAGCTGAGCAGAGTGGCTTATGAATAAAGACTACATATCCCATCTGCCCTAGCAGTCAGGATGGCCAAGTTGTGGACACCCAAAGGAAGGTATGTATCCCAAGGAACTTTGGGAACAGCATTCCAGTAAGGGATGGTCACATCCTTTACTTTTCAGTTTACACTTCCCTCCAGCTCAGATTCACATGAGCTGGCCGGCACGCCAGCGGCGAAACTAAACCAGGAGATGACCTAGCGAATCTAAAACCTTTCTTTAAAACAATGAGGCATAGCTGGGTTAGTTCTAGGTCAGCAAGGGCCATGGAGTTAGACCTTGCTCCAAAAATAAGTGCTAAAAACAAAATCGCAGAGCAGAAAGATAGGCCTGTGCCCACTTAGTAACCATAGCACAGCCATCCCAGCCCCGAACTTCCAGCTTCCCGATGATGATGATGACTCCTCCTTTCCCTCTTCCTCCTTCTTATGAGAGAAGACACCGGCTTCTATGATTAGGTCTCTTTTATAAGAAGCCAAACACCATCACTGTTGGCAGCCATGTTCCTGCTACAGAGAGTTAATCCCTCCACTGAGTGAGGAAGAGAGGTTCAACCTCACCCACGGCTAGGGCAGCAACCACATACCCCTGGGTTCCATATACTGATTCACACCAGCTTTCTGTCACTTGCAAATGAGAGTCCAGACTAAGCCTAGGCTGGCACTGCACACCTGTAGTCCCTCTGCGCAGGAGGCTGAGGCAGGAGGTTCTCAACAGTGAGAACTTATAGTGAGACCCTGTTTTGAAAATAGGGAGTCTAGCCGGGCGGTGGTAGCACATGCCTTTAATCCCACAGCATTCAGGAGGCAGTGGCAGGTGGATCTCTGTGAGTTCAAGGCCAGCCTAGTCTACAGAGTTAGTTCTAGGACGTGTTACATAGAGATAATCCAGTCTGGAAAAAAAAGAAAGAAAGAAAGAAAGAAAGAAAGAAAGAAACAAAGAAAGAAACAAAGAAAGAAACAAAGAAAGAAA